GATTGCTGACATTTTCTTCTTCTCTTTTTTCTTTTTTGTCTTTCCAATTTCAGATTTCTGATCTCAAGAGGAAACAGGAAAACCAGGTTGAGCTCTTAAAGCAAAAGCAAAGAAGTGATGAAGCAGCAAAACGGTTGCAAGCAGAAATACAGTACATTAAGGCTCAAAAAGTTAGTTTTACTTGAGTGATATTTCCATGTTTACATCCATAAATAATACATTGTAGCATAGTATATCTCATTATTTTGGAAATGTTCTTTTCCTTCTTTGCAGGTTCAATTGCAGCACAGGATTAAACAAGAGGCAGAACAATTTCGACAGTGGAAGGCCTCTTGTGAGAAGGAATTGCTGCAGGTGCTTCACTTTTCATGAGCAACATAATCTAGTTCCACCCTTCCTTTCTCCTTTCTTTTCACTTATCTTAAATGCAGAAGGGTTTGTACCTCAAAAACAGATTTGCTTCAGTTATGAACTATGATGAATCACAAACTGGAGTTAGAAAGCAACTGAACATGCATTAGCTTGGCTCTTATTATCTAGACTTTCTTGAGGTTTTTGTGAGCAGGGTGTGGCAGCATATAATGTGTTTCCGTCAAATATAATGTCACATAATTGTATCAAAGTTTCTATCCGCCACTTCTAAGGCATTATGTTTCTCGAGGAACTACTTTATGTTGGGACCTTCTATTGGGACATTTTATTAGGGTGTTTCTTCCCCGCAAGTGTTTCCTGCTGACCTAATCTTGCCTTCTAATACACTTAGAACTGCTTTTGCTGCTGAATCTTTCCTTTCTAAAAGTTTGGAAAGGAACTTCTGCTAGTCATGCTTGCCTTTTGTATCCTATGTTGTATTTTATACTGTAATGCTATTAACTTTAACATTGATCTATTACTTTTCTTGAGCAGCTTAGAAAAGAAGGAAGGAGGAATGAGTACGAAAGGCATAAACTTGAAGCCCTGAATCAACGCCAAAAAATGGTAAAGGATCAACTAGTCTTTTGACGTTTTATGGTTTCACTTGTGTTCAAAGTGTTGGAATATGGGGCTTCGTTTTATACCCACATTTTAAAGTGCTAAGTTGGGTCATTGCATATAGTATTGATTTGTTCCTTGCGTGATTTGAATGGGGCACGACAGCATTCATATTCATATTCTTGGTAGGCCTCTAGACATTTATCTGATTCAGTAACCCATTGCATTTTGAAGGATTAATCTAAGTTTAAATTTGTCAATTATAGAACATCCACTTTGATTAAGCTGATCTGGTTATGTAAGCATTCCTAGAAAGGAAAACAGAAATCTGAGGATTGATGCAGTCAAATTTCTATGGGATCTTTCCCCTTTACCTGAATCTTTGGGAATGCCTTTTGCCATGCTTCTTTGACTACTTCATATCACATAGTTGTCAAGGTTTTATCTGTTCTATAACTAACGATCAAACTTTTTCATGCAGGTTCTTCAAAGGAAAACAGAAGAAGCAGCAATGGCTACCAAAAGGCTGAAAGAGTTGTTAGAAGTGCACAAATCTTCTGTACGTGACAACTCAGGTAAATGTTTCTTTCTTTGTGAAACTAATCTGTTATTGATTCTTTCAGTGATATACTAATTGTTTTTTGACCTTTTCAGATAATCACAATGGACATACACAAAATGCACAGGTAAATGATTTGTTATTAAACATTTACTCCTGGGCAAATTTGTTATTCTGGGTCAGCAATTTCCGATGAAATCTATCAGCATGTTTAGATATTGGTGCAACTCAGTCTAGGCTTTGAATCTTGATCAAAGTGACAGGAGTGCAAACTATGGTATGAAAAATATTATGGTTATGAACCAAATGTTTTATATACTTAGATGGGAAATACAGAGTAAATTAACTGTAATGAGGGGTTGAGTTTGCAATTTTTCTATCACCTGATTACAAAATGAATGGACAATTCTAGGTCCAAACTAAGCTAGTTGTTGATTTTGTGTTACTTATGTTTCATAGCTAATGTTGGCAATTTTTCATTTTGATTTTTGCATCTTTAGAGCAATGAAAAATCTGTGCAAAGGTGGCTTGATCTTGATCTAGAAGTAATGGTGAATGTGCACGAAGTTCGTTTTGAATACAAGAAACAGATCCAAATGTAAGCATCCATCAGTTTTTTTCTCTTACACTCACTATCTGTTGTAAGCTTTCTGAAAGTCTGATATTAAATGATTATGTAGGCAAACTGCTCTAACAGAGGAGTTAACCTTATTGAAAGAAGTGGATCAGTTGTTTTCAAACAGTGACATTCCTAAAAGAGTAAACAATGGACATTCTAGGTATGTAAGATTATGTATCTACTTATTCTATATATTCTCTCCAAATATTTTCTGTATATACGGTAGGATGCCAGGATCATATCTTAATTGTACATCTTATGAAAACAATGGAAGTTTCTGAGATAACTATGGTGAATTAATTATGTTTTCCTTTTACTATGTTATTTCCAACCAATTAGATTGTTATCTATGTCACCAAATGTGAGAATGGAAAGGATAACTTCCCTTGAGAACATGCTTAAAATGTCTTCAAATGTGCTCAAAGAAATGTCTTCACAACTCTTGGAAGCAGAAGAAAAGGCACGTGGTTTGGTTGGTCGCGGGTGGTGGAATCAAGTACGCTCAATAAATGATGCAAAGAACTTGCTTCAATACTTGTTTAATGCTACTGCAGAATCAAGGTGCTTATATAAACTGGAATCTGAATAATTTCATTTTAACTTTCCCTTTTTTCTGCTGAATTTGGTTATCAGACACTTTAAGTAATGCACCCATTTATTAAGATTAATTAAATGTAGATGGTTAAATGCAACTGAAGATGTGTACTTAGCTAAGATGTTGGAAATACATAGGCTCCCAATGTCATGCACACATGTGAGAAGCTAGAATGTTTATACACTATCTTATGCGAACTCGAACACATACGAACAGAAAATATGGATGTCTTGAGTTAATTACTTGTTTTGCACATTCAGGCAATACAATGACTACACATGCATCTCTTTACCTCTTTACCCCGATTTACCTTACCACCTGATGGTGCTACTATTATGGGGCTTTCTGATTGAGGTCACTGTGAAAACATAAAATTGGTGTCTCTGTTTTATGGGTCATGAAGATTTATTTTGTCATGTTTGAACGTTAATGTCCATGGTTCCTGTATGAACAGGTGCCAGTTGCGGGAGAAAGATTTGAAGATGAAGGACCTCAAACAGCAGTTGAAAGATCTCACAACTCTATTATGGCAAAGTGAGGCGCAGAAAAAAGAGCTTGTGAAGGAGCAAAAGATGAGGGAGCAAGCTGTTGCTATTGCCCTGGCTACATCACCTTCAGTGAGATTATCATCTCCGCACCACTTTTTTTTTTTTTTAATGTTTGATGTGTAATACACTAATACATTCTCATTAAAAACTTTGCTCAAATCACTCCTTATTAACTGATGTTTTGGACTGAAATTATTTAAGGCAGAACATCCTAGTAATGCAGGCATCAAGAATTCTATAGGTGATGATGGTTACCATATAACCTTCTATAATTTCATGTCTTGGTTCCATTAGTAATGTCTGAATTATGAGCATTGGATGATCTATGAAACTTAAGAAAAATCATCTCCTGACCAACTCAAAGTACTCATTAATGACACTAGAAATAAATCAATCGTTAGGATCTAACAATATTGAACTGTATAATGTATCCCTAATTTTCTATTCTCATATTTAATAAATGGAATTCCACAGGGGAACTCCCACAGTTCATCAAAACACTTTGCGGATGATTTGAGTGGTCCCCTTTCACTGATGTCACTCCCAGTCCCCAAGCAACTGAAATTTACCCCTGGTGTTGTTAATGGGTCTGTTAGAGATTCAGCAGCATTTCTAGATGAGACAAGAAAGGTAAATTATCTGCTCCATGCCTTATTTTGGATTGGTTTCTTTCTGCTTTATCAATAAAGTATAGATATTGTGTGTGCAGATGGTACCAGTTGGACATTTGTCAATGAAGAAATCGACAACCCTGGGACAAACTGGAAGACTCTGGAGGTGGAAGAGAAGTCATCACCAGTGGCTGCTTCAATTCAGATGGAAGTGGCAGAAGCCATGGAAACTCTCTGAATGGATCAAACACAGTGATGAAACAATCATGAGATCAAGGCCTCGTTCACAGCCTCTGATTGAAATGATATGATTGATGAGCTTGTATTCAACAGCTTTCTTAATCCTGTAATACATCTTGACTGGTATAATGGCATGGCTTACTGAGAAAATAAATGCAGGTAATTCCCATTTTGTTATTTAATTATCCGTTGACACAATAAGAAACATTGAAGTTTACTAATGCCTGCTACAGTTGATACACTTACCTTGCCTTTGTGATCTGGAACCTTATTTTAGCCAGCCCATTCTCCTGGATGATTACACATTTTGCTGCTTGAACTGTTTCCACATAATTAAGTCATTTTTGTGGCTCCTTTTGTTGCCCTTTAGTTGTTTTCCTAACCAGCCAATCTGATGTAGTGCCAGTGGCAAGAGAAGTCCCTGCTTAATTGAAAATTCGTATTTCTTATATGATTCTCTTTTTTCCATTAATGCAGGCACGTTGTAAATAGGTAATAAGAGATTGGTGGTTGCCATAGTCAGCTGAGATGTCTATATATGAGTACGTTGTGCGGCCTTAGCTAATGCTTGGATTTCAAACCCTGTAGGGGAGTAAATCATCACATTGAAGCATGTTGGCAGACTGCTAGGCCTCGAATGTGCTGGAAAGTGGCTTATAGTTGACTAAGCATGGTTATATACGAGTATGTTGGTGGTTCACGAAGATGTTTCAGTTTTGTAGTCCCCTGTTTTATTGTTTATTCTTTATCATGAAAATGACATTTTTTTGCCCGGAGTTCATGCAGTTTTTGTATGATTGACCTTCAAATTGTTTTTTTTTTTTTTGGGTGTACATATTAATTTCTTATAGAAATGAGTGATGCAAAAAAATTCAAATTATAATCTAATCCTGATTCTTTTATTGGGTTTTTAATGTAACCGATTTCAGAATATGAGATATAAAACTTAACGTGTTGTTGTATTAATTCTAACATTTTTTTTTATCTTGGCAAAACTTGATCTATTTTTTGGTAGGATGAATGCCCATCCTATATTTATGCACCACCCTATGCCATTGTGCTACACGTATTATAGGCTGATCAAAATGCTAGTTTTGCAGATGATGGGAGCAGCCTTCGAACTTAGACATAACTCTTATTTCAGCATAATATGATCGTTATAACTATCGTTTAAATTTAAGTGCTTAATTTATTGCTTTGAAGCCTAATGAGTTCTGATTTTTATCATTTCCCATTGCATTTTTTAACATCATATAATCTCTCTCGTGTAATAGATGAAATCGGGATCGTCATATACAAGAGCTTGAATAAATTTCTCAGCTAAGCTTGAACACCACACAATAAATTATAATTTGCTTCCATCTTAGCGTCAAAGAACGTTTGATGCTTTCTATGCACTGTCCTCCATCATCGCACTCTCCTTGATCTGCTGTATCATCTTTAACACTTGCCACATTGGCGGCCTCTGTTCCGGTGATGTCAAGCTACAAACGCTAGCAACTTCAGTTAGCATTCCGAGCCTGTGATGTTCCCCACCATCATCTTCTCGCATCGTTCTAACCCATTCCAGCATGTCATGGGGCACAAGCACAGGATGTTGTGATGGATGTTTGCCCGTCAAAAGCTCGACAAGAAAGACACCAAAAGCATAAACATCAGACTGGGGAGTGAATCTGCGATTCGATTTTCGAATCTCAGGAGCTTTATAGGCTGCAGAATCGGGATCTTCAGTAGAAGAAGAGTCTGCAAGGAGAGCAAGGCAGTAGTCCGTGAGACAGGCTTCGAAATCAGTCCCAAGGAGGACGTTGGAGGATTTTAAGTTGCCGTGGACAAGCCTTGATGCTTGGTGGATGTAAGCTAGGCCCTGGGCAACATCTTCTGCTATCTTTAAACAGGAAGTCCAATGAAGAGGCTTCGCCCTTGTTGATCTTGAACCTGTTCATAAACTCGGCCATAACTCACTGTGTAAACCCAGAACAATTAGTTATCATTAAAAACAGAAAGTCTAAAATCATACCATGAACGAGGTTGAAAACGCTTCCATTGGGTTGATAATCATAGATCACAAGCCTTTCTCCTTTAGCTTGAAAATAAGCTCTAATTGGCACCAAATTGGGATGTCTCAGCCCTCCAACAGCATCCATGTGCTGCTCAAAAACTTCACCGCTGGTTACCGCTGTTTTGCAAGCATCCAATCTCTTCACCGTCAAAATCAACTGCCTATCAACCACTGCCTTATACGTGGTCCCCATCGTACCCCTCCCTAATAACTCAGCTGAAGCTCTCATTAACTGCTCTAAACTGTAACCTTCAACTTCCCCAGCAACAAACACTAAATTCCCACTCTTTTTCAGCTTTTGAATTCCGGGTATTACTAGTTTCCTCCCCGAAACTTCTTCAACTTGGGTTTTTGAGTTTCCTACGTTTGAGTTCGTTGCTTCTGATGAAGCTGTTGTTGGCTTTGTTTCTTTTGAGTCTACACTCTTTTTACCGCTTTGTCTTCTAACCAAAGCAAAAGCTAACAAAACTGAAAATATTATCAAAGCAATGCCGATTGTAAACCCTAAGACCACCCCAGTTCTCTGGTGTTTCTTCTTCGGTGAAGACGGGGGTGGAAGAACTACAATCCCACCGGTGGTGGCGCCGCCACCTTGGGCCTCCGCGCTTTGCCCTAGCGGACCCGACGCTGAAGGAGAACCGAAAAACGGAGAACGTGAAGTGCAAGGTTTGTTGATAATCTCCCCACATAAATTAGGGTTCAACGAGAACGCCGTCGTATTGAACTTCAATAAAGTCGGGGTGGCAGGTATTTGTCCGGTAAGATTGTTGCCTGAAACGTTGAAAATGAGTAGAAATGATTGGTTTAAAGGGGGAACCGTTCCGTTAAACCGGTTCCACTCGAGCCGGAGGATGTTTAACCTATCCAGGGCGGTTAAGTTAGCCGGAATCGGACCGTTTAAAACATTGTAAGAAAGATCGAGGGAAGTTATTCTATGAAGAAAAAAGATCGAAGGAGGGAAAGTTCCAGAAAAATTGTTACGGTCCAAAAAAAGGGCTTTCAGGTTGTAAAGAGAGGACAAGTCGGGGATTGGACCGGATAACGAATTGTTGTGGAGACTGAGGACACGGAGCTGGTCGAGGCGCGTGAGGGAGTTCGCAGGAAAAGTGCCACGCAACCCGGAATTCTGGAGGATGTAGCGGACGACACGACCTTGAACACATTTGACACCTCGCCATTGGCAGTAGTCGAAGCGCTCATTGAGCGCGTAAAGGAGTTTGTTGTCGAGGTCGGCCTTGGATTTAAAGGTGAGGATGGAAACGGCGTCGGATGGGAGCAGTAAGTTGGTTTGTGGAGGGTAGGTTATAGGCTCAGAAAAGCAGGACAACAAGAAGAAGAAGAAGAAGAAAAGTGGAAGCAAAGCTTTGGAGTTGGTTTTGGGCATTGTTTATGTTTTTCGTTTTAGGTTTGGCTTCTCCTGTTTCTGTCTATGTTTTTTGTGGTTTGTGGAAGACAGGAGCTGTTTCTGGGTTACTGGGGAAGGCAGATAAGACTCACGTGAAGGTCATGGAGGAATTTCGACGTTTGGAGATTATTCTTCTACTTCTAGCCTTAGCTATCCCACTCAACAGCGCGTGTACTTCACTTCATTTTTAATTCCTTTGTGAGTAAGGAGCCATTTATTTTATATTTTATGATAAAATATTTTAGTATTTTAGATTTGGTGGTGATATATAGGGATGTAAATGATACATTAATGTTCGTAAATTATTTGGATTTGATTTGAAAAAAATTTAAATTTGATTCGATTATTATAGAGTCGAGCTCGAGTAGTTCGACTCATTGATCAAATCGAATTTGAGTATTTTTATATTCGATTCAAATAACTCGTGAGTCTAATCGAATTTTTATATTTAAATATATATTTATTATTTTAATTAATAAAATATCTCAAATTCGAGTTTGAACTCGAGCATAAATAATTAACTCTTATCGAGTATGCGAATCGAATTTATTTTTATATATTAATCGAACTTAATCAAGCAAGTTCGAGTAGTTCAATTTCTATTACGAATTAACTCGAATTAAAAAAATAAAATTCGATCGAGTTTGAGTCGAGCATCAAACTACGAATTGAGAGTCGAACTCGAATTTAAACTCTTACTGTATCGATTTGACTCAACTCAATTACATTTCTAATGATATACATGGAAGCAAATTAATTGACATTAAAAAAAAAAAAAACAAGGAAAGGGACATTTGAGTGATCCTGTTCTTTATTTGGTAGTGTTTAAGGTTTTATTTTTCTCAATTAATTGCTCCCTTTTGAATAAGCATTCATTCAATACTAAATAGATAAAACAAAAAACATGGAATACTATATATAAGTTTCACATATATTATTCCTAGATTCTTTATGCTTTTTATTTGGATGTTTTAACATTTTGGTGCTGTATGGTATTATAGTTGTAAACAATTATATTTTTAAGTAATATAGTACACAACCTTTAAATTTTGATATTTTTACCAATAATAGTATTTTAAAAAGTAAAAAAATGTAAAAAATGAATAAATAAAATTTTTAAATAAATTCAAGATTAATTTTAATTAATTCATATAATTATTTTTTAAAATAATAATTAATAAATTTAAAATTAAAATCCGGCGACTACAATTTTTTATAAGAAAAATTTTAAAGTTATTAAAACGGTTAATTAGATTCTTTGTATATGTACTAAAATTCCATTTGTTGGATGCGACATTTATATTAAAACGATTACTATGACTCACGCGCCGTTTGGGAAACGTAGGCAAATGCTGATTTAATGAAGCTCAGTGTAATAAACCAAAGACAAATATTCGAGTCTTTTGATCGAGTCTCGATGAAGTCAAACGTTAGTCAAACGAACCAGCTTTCAGACTGGTTAGGCCTAGCCCGTGAAGTCCAAGGACCGGAGCCCCCCAAGAGCTAAGGCCATGACATTGCAACGGTCAGCAACAACGAAAGAGCCAGCTCAGCTTAGATTCACGATTCAAAGAAAGTGGTTGCATTATTTTTTATTGAATGATAATAATAATTTTACATGATTTATTTCTACTTTCGATTTACCCCATGGCAATGCCATGATGAGGCATTATTTATTTTTGGATTTAAGCAAAATTTAAAGCTAAGTTCTATTCATTCTCTTATTTTTGGTATGCTACTATTCATTACTTGGATTTTCATCATAATATAAAGTTTATGAAAAATTTGTACTTAATTTATAAAAATATTATTTATTTTGATTCAAAATTTTAAAAATTTTATCTCACAAAAAAATCATGAATATAAATATAAATTTATACATATATATCATATTATATTTTTATATTATTTTAATATAAATTAAGAGCGTCACAGATTTATAATCTATAACTAATTAATTAATTAATGTAACGATCTAAATTATTTGTCAGTGACTAAAGAAGTGATTTTTTTTATACAAAAGTTTCAAATTCCAATAATAATTTTTTGCATGAAATTCAAAAAATAAGACGTTAATAAATTAATATATTTCCTTTTATCATCAAATGGATTAAAAAATAATTTTATATATGTGTACATGCTCGGCCAACAATATAGTTGTTAATTTGTTTGTGTTGCAAAAATGAAAAAAAATTTTTTTTGGATATTATATAAATATATTATTAATAGCATTTTCATATACTTTCAACTAGTATTTAAGTGCTGTTTATCTTTATTTAAACTATTTTTAATTAAGTGATGTATAACAAAAATAAGTTTAGAAAAATCCAGTTAAAAGAGCATAGAAAACATTAAAACAAGGAAAATGAAATTAAAAATAATTTTTTATTCAATAGGAATTTATTTGTAGGAGCCTTTTCCTTGTGAAATAAAATGTTTGATTTATTTTTTTGGGTGAAAATGTTTTTATTTTTGTTTATAACTAGTAGCTATCAAACTATTTTTATACACAAATTATGTCATACCCTCATTCTGACATCATAAGATCTTTCTTACTTCAGTTCTTGTTGATGAATTCCTCTGTCATAACATATTTTTATGTTCCAATAAAAAGAAATATTTTTCAAGCAATACTTGCTTTGCAGGTCCAAAAAGTTCCAAAATTTCAATCATATTTGATGATGGCATGGTGCCCACTAATGGAAAGGAAATTTGAAAAAAAGAGCACCTGAAACTTCCCATTAGATAAAATATAAATGAACTTGTGAAGTAAAGTAATAGTAATAATTTAATTGTTGATGATGCTATTATATACAATGAAATGAAATCCCCCACTTTTCCTCCTAATCTAGTCTAACTTATTATTGACAGGAAACCTTTATGAATTATTATACAAATTAATTCTTGAAATTTTTAAAATATTAAATTTAAAAGTTAGTTCATTTAAATTAAAATCGAGAAAAAAAAGTCGGAAAATAAATTTAACGAGAAAAAATGGTTAAATAATAAATTTCATAAGAAAAAGTACTATAAGAGTGTAAAAATTTTTGGAGGATCATAGCTCATATCTACTCCTTAGCTACGCTTTTAATTTAAATCATATAGTTATAGTTTGAAATTTAAATTCGAACATTTATTACATCTCGTATAAAATATTATCATATTTTCTTTAAAAAATAAAAAACATTGGATGCTTATGCATCCTCCATTTTGTCTCCATTGGTAAGTTGGGTGAATCACAAATCACAATGGGTGTTTTGTTATTTAATTATTAACTTAGTACATATTTCATTAATGTTCATCATCCATGGGATATCTTCTCCTTACCTTTTTGAAAATCCAATCCCATCTGCCCCATCTTTCTAAGCTAACGCACTTGAAACATGTGCCTTTCTTATCTTGTCCCCATGCTTTTTGATTTCCTCTATTGCTTGTTTTCTTTTTTGATCTTTTCACCCTTTGCTCCATTCCAATGGGGGAGAAGATTGATGCTTTCTCGACCAAAGAGAGCGTTACCAATCCACGAAGGTCATGTCAGTGTTGTATTTTCATAAATTATGGTAGCAATTGGGCCATAGCACAAAAGCCTTTCAAGCCTCCCCTTTCCCCAACTTGAAATTCTCGTTCCATTGGCTAAAAAACCATCTGGAAATCTGTTCATTTTCTTGCTTGAAAACGATGGTCAAGCTTTACATAGTGTTTACCACTGGCATTTGAGCAGGACAGGAGACTAAAAAGTAAAATAAAAATTAGGGATGAGAAAAAAAGATTTAGACTAGATTTGAAATTATAATATTCAACTCGAATCTATTTTTTTTATTTAGTTTGGATCAAGTTTTGATATTAAATATATATATTAGATTTAGATTGAAAGGTGAAAAATAAAAAAAAATTGAATTTAATCGAATTATATATATTTTAGTATTTATATATTTTAAATTTTTATAAAATAAAAATAATAATTTTATATCAAAATTTGTTTAAATATATTAAAATATTATATTAAAATAATGTATAAAAATAAAAATTTAAAATTAATAAATTAATAAATTAAATCAAACTAATAAATTTAGTTTAATTTAAATTATATAAAATTTGATTCGAATCAAATTTTAAAATTTTATAATATTATGTAATATCTAAAAAAAGTTAAATCCAATCCAATTTTATTCATACCATTGTTATCCTAATAATAACCCAGGAAAACACCTGGCTAAGAAAATAGAGGGGCCTCACAACTGATTCAAATGGACAATACCTATAACTAATTTGTTTAGGGCTTGGCATATTGTCTTTGCAAACCAAAAGAAAAAACAAGTTTATAAGCATAAAGCAAATGGTTGACATTACCTGTCTCATATTTGGGCCATTGCTAAGGTTTGTCACCACTTGTAACCTTGTTTGAAGGGAAAATTTCAGTAATGCTATGCATCACCTTGTTTTATTTTTTAAAGATATTTGTTTTCCTCAAAGTAGTCTTGAAAATTTCAGTTGCCAATCAATGACACTGGTCCCCTCAGGAAAGCTGTTCAAGCTTTTGAGACAGTAAGTTTAGTGTTAACAGATAAAATAGCATTATTCCAACAGCAAATACAATATTACATGTACAAGCTGACTGCGAACGGGAGCCAATAAACGTGATCTATCAATAGGATATGAAATTTTTAATTTCATTGATTAGGATTTAACGGAGTTTCTAGCTTGACAAATTCGGTTGGTGGGGTGTCCAGGTATTAATTTTGTAGGTCTACTCCAAAATCAAACTCACATTATTTTGATATTACCTCGTCAACTTTTCTGCAAATCCAGAATTTCATATTAAACATAATTACTTACATCTTAGCATCGTCTCTATTGCCTCGCCAGATTAGCTGAATTTTTATGAAAAATGTGGGCTATACTTTGTTCATATAACTACAAACCAGACATCTGTTGTTCTACAAATATAGGAAACCAACATAATTTGTTTGTTGACGGCAGAATCAATCCAAAAAATCAACTTTAATTCGACATAATCCTAAGGCCATGTTTCTGCAAATGGGAATATGAAGCAGGTGAATTGTCACCTTCAATGGTAACTAATTATTCA